CCTTGATCTTTTGCAGCAAGCACCTCAGGTCCTCTTCAGTTTCAGCAAGTAGAGTTGTGTCATCTGCATAACGCAGGTTGTTGATGACTCTTCCACCAATCCTGATGCCACATTCCTCTTCGAACAGATCTCAGATGATCTGTTCTGCATACAGATTGAAAAGGTATGGAGACGAAATATGCTGTATTTTAGATAGGAAGCCACTATCACAAAGAACAAAAAAAAATAGCTCCAATGTTCTAGTGGGTAAGGAGTTAACGCTTTTAACCCAGGCGATTCAAATCTACTGTGTGGTCCTTCGAGGGAGAAAAATGGACAGTTTTCTCTGATGTGATTTATAGCTTCCTGTTGGAAACCAGCTGGAAGGACAACTATGTGTTTGGTACAGCTGAGGACACATAGAAACAAAACTTAGGAGTAAAGTTAAATGTCTTTTTTTAAGTCAGAGGGCCATTTTTACTTGGTGTATTTGAGAGTGCTTTAATTTGCTCATGCCATTTTCCATTTTTCTGTAGGAGCTTGGTCTGTTTCCATTCCTTCAATTTTGAAAGTTTCTTAGAGTCAGGATAATATGAAAGTTTTGTCTCTAATATAGATTGTAAAATTTTTCCAAAATAAAAAGATCATTTAGTGGGGTATCATTTAAGTAATCCGCATTTTCAAGTACATAGTTTAATTGTCTTGACAAATCTTAACAGTGGAACAACCATTACAAAATTAAGAGAGAATTTTTATTATCCCCTAATTTCATGCTCATTCGTAGTCAGTTGCTGCCTTCCTCCCTGAGCCTGGGCAAATACTAAGAGGATTTCTGTCTTCATAGTTTTGCCTTTCCCAAAATACTGTATAATTGGAATCATATTTGACAGAAATTTTTGTGGCTGGTTTGGCTTAGTGGTTAAGAAATTGCGCTTTAACCCAAAGGCAGATAGTTCAAAGTCATCAGTTATTCCATAGGAGGGCAGTCTCCTTTCATGCAGTTTACAGCCTCTGAATATCTGCTGAAGGGTCAGGTAGTCATTCCAACTTAATGGCAGTGAGTGATTATATTGTACGATTATGGTAAGTTTAATTACTAGTTAGGCTTTTTTACCCACCTCTTTCTAGTTTTTTGAAATTATTAGTAATGGTACAAATATTTATATACAGATCTTTGGATATGAGTTTTGTGTTTTTTAACCTAAAACCTACAAAGAAATTGTCAGTTCTACTGTGGCAGAACCATTTTGCATCCCGTGGTCTTTTTAATTCTAGGGGTATGATGGTATATCTTTGTTTTAATTAGCATTTCCCTTATAAACATCATCTCATCATCTCTTTGTCATTAGCTTTTTAAATTTTTTGTGGAAGGTCTATTAAAATATTTTATACATTTCTCCCTCCATTTTGTTGTCTTAAGTTATAAAAATTTATATTTTTGACATTTTTTATTATGCATGTATTTTCTTTTAGTATAGTCTTTTAAAAAATGCTTTTAGAAGAAAATGAATTGTAAATTTGATAGAATTCAGTGTATCAATTTTTTACTTTATCTTTTATTTTTGTTCTAAGAATTCCTTGTCCCCGAAGGTAGATGTTTTAGATTTTTTAGGTTTAAAATTTTTTAATTTCAAGCAGAAATTAAAAAACTTCAAACAGCAGTTATTAGTTGTGGGTGTTTGGTTTTTACCTCTCAAAAATTATTGTGAAAACAACTATGAGATATCATCTTACCCCAGTGAGAATAGCAAAATTTAACAGAACAGCAAGCAGCAAATGCTGGCGAGGTTGTGGAGAAACTGGAACCCTTATTCACTGTTGGTGGAAGTGTAAAATGGTGCAACCACTGTGGAAGGCGGTATGGCACTTTCTCAAAAAGTTATAAATAGAGATACCATTTGACCCAGCAATCCCATTACCGGG